TTGTTTTATTATTTGTTTAACGATTTCTTGTTTTTCGTTATTTTAGGTTTTTCGTCCTGCTTGTTATTTTAAAGCTTTAGGTTTAAAATAACATACAGGACGAAATGTGCGGTGTATGTGCGGTGAAAATACTTATATAGTCTTTAAATATTATGAGTTCGTGTTGAGTTTTTTTTTTAATTTTGGTGAGGGTTTTGAATTGATAGCTAGCTCCACATTTCACAAAAAAATATAAAAATTTCATTATAATTTTGAAAACGTATTTTATTTCATAGTAACATGAAGATTTTATAAAGCTTTCACTTTGACAAGCTTTACTTTAGCGATCCTAATTGGTTTTCATAATGCAAATTAAAAAAAAAAATTACAAATTTTTCGAATGATATTCAAAAATATAGTCGATTAAGCTAACGGTATGTAAAGTTTTTTACTATTAGTTTTTTTTAATAATATTAAATAATTTTTTGTTGCATAAATTTAGGGGATATCAATAAAAATGAGAACCAATACATCACTAAATTTGGAAACAATTGAGAATTTAAAAATAAAACTAGGGGTTCAGGCAAACATGCGATTTTTAGTTTTGCAACAGTTAGATTGCTTATTTGTATAACTTAGGTTTATATTAAAGCGCTTACATATGTAAATCAAACATTCAACAAAGTAAAAAATCAAACAGTTTGTAATTTTTTACAAATTGAATGCAATATGATGAAAAATTTTAAAGCAGTAATGGCCTACAACAATCGAGCAGTAATGGTATGTCTGTCTGCTTCCTAAAGAAAAGCTAAAAGGTTAACTCGTTCACTTCCTTCATAAGCCTCTTAATTTTGGACACTAGTTGTGCATATTCTTTTTTTAAATCAATGTAGAGAAAAAATGGATGTAAAAGAAATTTTTCAGCAGCTAACTATTTTGTTTTTGGTAAATTTTATACCAGGACAAGTATAACAAGGAAATTATTGATATGCCAGATCTTCCAATTAGAAAAAGACTGCAATATTACTTCAATTCAATGATTAAAATTGTAAAACGAACAATATTGGAAAATGAAGAATGAAAAATTCAAGTTATAGGTAGTGTGTATATTCAAGAGATAAATAATTTTTGTAGGCTTTTAAAATGATATTCAAACATTTAATAGTTATGTTCGGCACATAAACAAAGGTGTAGGTACTAAGAAATACAATAGATAAATAAGAAGAGACGAAATCAAGTATCTTGGAACCTATAAAAATTTAGCGACTTCATAAAAAAATTTTACATACAGATAAGCTTCACAATAGATATAATATTATATAGCATAAGTAGCTACGCATTTACTTAGTCCATACTTTTAAGGCAGTTAACACCCTGTAAATATGTGCATCTACCTTACTCGGTTATGTGAAATATTTCGGAAATATTCTATTTCATTCTTAGACAAATCAATTGTTTTAAATTTTCAAAAATACTTAACTATATTACCATATGATCAAATAATGGTATAATTCACACCATCTCTACTTCGTGAGAATAATAATAACATTGCATTTGTGCATTATTATTATTTCTTATAACACATGTTTGCAATTTTTTTGTTCAAGTTTAATTATTGTTAAAATAACAGATTAATATAACACTGACAAAAATTAAATATGACAAAATTGTAGTTTGAGTTAATCTTATATACATTTTGTATTAACGTGATAATTTATAAGTATATAGCACCTATCTCAATTTTACCTAAATATGAATATATTCTAAAAGAACACATAATGTATGAGAATGTAGCTTTAAGCACGTACCCAGTAAACAATTGTTAACGTTTAGTGCATTATGTTAATGCTTAGGATTTTAAAATGTAAAAATAAAATACAGAAAATACAGAGGAACAAAATACAAGAGTAAATAAATTAAAATGTGATGTACAAAAATAATAAGGTGAATTTTATGTGGAATTAAAATAACAAAGGAACATAGATTCGCACATAAGTTAAATATAATGGGAGATAAAGTCACTATTAAACTTTTAATTAAAATAAATGAGCGCAACTTTTATGAAAATATATGAAAATTAAAAATATAAAACATAGGAAAAATTATGAAACGTAAAACGGTTTAATCAATAAAACATAGGGAAACTTCGTATATGTAGGAATACTTGACAAACTAAATTGTTTTAGGTCTATAGTAAACACGCGTAACTGAAGTCGACTTAAGATGTTTTGCCTTGTGCAGAATTGAACAATATGGTCTTAAGATGGTTTTACCAGGTCCATAAAATGGAAACGGAGGGGGCTAGAGACACCGGAGTCAGAGCAAAATATAGATTTAGTATTCAAAAGTTCAAAAACGTCTGGCAAGTCAAAACATCTTAAGTCGACTTAAGATGTTTTGCCTTGCTGGTAGCGAACAATTGAAATTAATTCTGTTAGTTAAAAATTTTGAAATTATTACTCGATTGATTCTAATAAGTAAATTTCGCTGTTATAGATCTAAAATTCATTGATTATAGCCATACAGAGCTCCCGTGAAAATTTATTACAATAAAAAATAATGGAACTGTTTGTTTTAAAACCTAGTCGCATTCATAAAACTATTCACAAATTTCGAATATAAAAATATTTCACTATTCTTGTCGTATAACCTGTTCTCTTAACGTTTAAAATTCAATAATTGCTTTAAAATTATTTCAATTTTAATTGTATTTGAGTAAAGAATATGACAAACAATATTATCAAGAATCTATTATCCTGTTTTCAAGAAATCTATTATTCTGCGCAATGATAGTAAATGCAAAAATTGGATTTGATGTCAAATTATTAAACTGCATCGTTCACAATTCATAGCTATAGTTTTGCAAATTAACCATAGTAAATGTATACTCAAAATCTTCTTGCTAGAATTAGAAATATAATGGTGAATTTCGTTAGATATAAAGAAATAATTAAGTTACACGATTTTTGTCAAAAAAAAAAAATTTTTAAAAAAATTTGTATTATGAAACCTTGTGCTCTAATAACAATTATAATACTTCAACCAAACTATTCAAATTTAGTTTGGTAAATAACCAAATTATTGCATATTTACCCTATTTTCTTACTAGCATTAAAAATAAATGAGCTTTGACAGTATTTATACTGGAAGGATACAGTAAAATTGTTAAGGAATAAAAAAAATAATATTCAAGTATAATAAAAAAAATAATATTATTCTGTACATTGTCCTATGACAATGATGATGACCTCAACGCTTTCAGTGTTCTTATGGTTATAGCGTAAATATTTAAACTAGCATTTTAATTCATTTCAATGACTAACAAAGAAAAATTTATCATTGTATTTAACAAAATTAAAATTTTAATAAAAAAAAAAATTTATGAAATAAAAAGTATTTTTATTAAAATTAAATGAAAATAAAAAGAAAAAAAAATCAACTCTGCATGTCCTGTTCTGTGTGTGTGTTAGCGTGTTTGTGTTTTAAATATGAAATAATTTTAATCTTGAAAGCAAACAATATTATAGCGTTTTGGAACTGTTGACAATGCTTTACGATATAGAAAAAAATAAACAACAGTACAAGTATTGTTAACGAAAACAAAAAAAATTTGCGATAAATTTTGAAAATGTGAGAGAATTAATGTTGTTGCCTTAAAAAAAAGTTAAAATGGAGTTAAGAAAAATTTTTGTCATTTTAATATAAGTGGAAAATTTTGAAAAATTTCATTGTAGATAACACAAAGCAAATATTTTAGTTTTACTTGATTTTATTATTGAAAAGTTTGAAAAATTTTACTATTTAAATTTTGAAGTTTTAAACTTTTACTTGAACTTTCTATTGTATTTTCCAGACAAGGTATATCAGACCAGAACCCTGTTGCGCCAACCATTTTTTTTTCTATAATTAATTAATTAGGAAATTTGCAAAATTCCTTTTTCACCGAGAGTCCAATCATTAATTAACTATAGTAATGAGAAAAAGTACTTTCTCAAATGAAAGTAAGCATTTTACAATTTTAATTTTTACTTTAAATTAATGAAATAATACTTTAAATCATAGATAACTAAATTGGAAATAATCAAAAGAAAAACAGAGGTAACGATAAGATAAAGTATGTGTTTTGATAATAATAATCAGGTGGGTGAACTCTAAACTGTAAAAAAAAACTAAAATTTAATATAAATAAAAAATCGAGAATCGAATTGAAAATTTTACAAAATATATGTGTAACATATTTTTAGGAGTTAGGTAAAAAACATAATTTGCAATTTTTTTACTAATTTTTATAGTCAAACAAAACAAAAAATAGTACTTACTATACAAGGAATTAGTAATGGAAGAAGTTGAGTAAGATTGGCATTACGAGAAAGCGAGTAGAAATAATTTTAAAATATAAGAAACGATTTAGGTAAATATAAGAAGAATGCAGACAAATCTTATAAATAATAAAAATACCATTAAAATTATTAGTTTTAAAGTTGAATTAAATTGTCCGGACAAGCAGAAAAAAGTTTTTTTACACAATTGCAAAAATCTGCCGCATGCAAATGTTTTTCTAGGGGAAAAGCAAGAGCTTTTCCTCTAGAACTTACAGCCCATGTTAATGTAAAGCCTTTTGATATACAAAGCCTGTTAAAACTATCACTGCACTGCAACTACAACAAATCGTTAGAGCGACTTTATTGATTACATTTCAGTTTCCGTTATCCTACGTTTTATTGCTTAAAAATATTCAAAACAACAAATTAATCGACTATTATAACGCACACCTTAATAATCTGACTATTCAAACTAGTTTCTGAAATATTTAAAATTATTTTTTATATTTGTATGGCAGTTGCCATAAAACAATCGTAAAGAAAGTCACAAAATCAAAAGCAAAGAAATAAACAGTAATCTGAGTATGTAATTTTAAAGCATGTATTTTTAATTTTCTCCAAATAAAATTATAAATTTCGATTTTTCTTTATAATAAATTATAGCTAATTAATTTTTTTGTTTTTAAATTTTGAAACAACTTAAAACGAATTTTGTTTATCTTTAATCCAATCAAGATATGCTCCAGTATGTGTGTACACAGATGGATAATTTTCTATACCACATGGTATATAGCCCCATGAAACGATACCAACAAGAGTAGTTTTATTATCATTTTTTTGTACTAATGGTCCGCCAGAATCACCACTACAAGCAGATATACCTATATCTTTTGATCCAGAACAAATATTTGTTTCATGAATAGGAGATGTAAATGGCAACTTAGCAGAACATTCCGAATATGATAATAAATTAGTTGTCACCGTTTTTAAAATATTTGGTAAACCACCTGTATTATCTCGTCCCCACCCGTAAAGTGTACAATTACCAATTTGTTGAATATAATCAATTGGTAAGTCAATAGCTTGAACTCGTTTATTTAATTTTAATGGTTTTTCCAAATATAATAAAGCAATATCATAAGGTCCAACACCACCAAAATATCGATCATGTACAAAAATTTTATTAACACGTACTGTTTGTTTATTAAGTTTTTCGTTACGATCATGAAGACCAGCATGAATATAAATTAGATTTGATGATATACAATGAGCTGCTGTAATAATCCATTGTTCATTTATAATTGAACCACCACAAAAATGTGAACCATCAATGGTACTAGTTAGCGAAACAATATATGGAGCTTCACCAATTTTTGCATATTTTCCATTTATAATACGACCACGTATCAAATCATTTTCTGGAAATCCTATATGTGGTATAGAACTTGCAAATGATACTGCAACACAAATTATTAAAATAATTAATGATTTCATTACGGATGAGACTATTGACTTTGATTGATTTCGTTCCTAAATTCTAATGATTTATATAGTCCAGTTTTAGTTAAAGATAACAAGTTGTAACATTGAAATTGAGGTTTTTTTTTTGAGTTGATAAATTTTATAAAATATGTAATTCAAGTTAAATAGCAAGGTCTCCATTTTGTTCCAAATGAATTTTTGGACTTTTGAAATTTGGTATTTTTTTTTTTTGTCATATTGAAATTTTATCATTATTCAATCAAATATTGTGTAATATTTTTAATGATTAATTTCATGATTTTTAAATTATTGATTATTTTGAACCTTAAATTTACCCAATTTATTAAGGTAATTCATCAGTAATTCAAAAAATATTAAGCAGACCGGTTATATCCGATTAATCACTATAATAATTTTTAATTTAAAATGATCAAAAAATTTGGAATATTGATAAGTTTGTAGAATATTGAATCAGTTAAAAGCAGTAAGGAATTCAGATTTTGTCAAGCTATTGAATATGAAGATGAAAATTGAATTATTATTGAAACGCTCAATAATTTTAAATACAGAAATATTGAATTTGGTTTAAATAAGTGTGGATTTTGTAGATTCTAAAAATATAAAAAAAAACTTCTCTGTTCTAATTATTTTCTATTTGGAAAATTAAAAATAATCAAAGAACAAAGAAGGAAGTAAAATAAATTACAATACAAAGTAAATTTAGAATTAATTTAAATCAAATCTGATAAGATTCAAGATTAAATTCTTAAATTTTTTTTTTTAAACGTAAACAATGTATTTATGACTAAATTTATGGGAAACCCTAGGTAAAATTAAATTTAAATTCGAATTTTATTAAAATATAATTAAAATTTTCATGCTAAAAAAGTCGCGGTTATCGCGCACTCTTACGTTGAATTGTTGAAAAAAAAATTTTGATAAAATATAAACGGTGTATCAAGAATTTATTATAATTAATTATTATTATTATTATTTCGAGTATTTTTATAGAAACAAAGGGAAGTTGATAGCAAGCGTAACCAATTATTTAATTAGATTATTTCTATAATCTATTTACATGAAAAATTAGTCTAAGTAAGATATTCTAAATTATCTAGGGGATGCGTCATGTTTGTACATCGGAGCACAATACATCCAAATAATAATGATCCTGTTTTTATAATCTAAACAATCTTGACTTAAATTTATTTCACTCAATTTATCTTTTGACGGGCTGTTAATTTATTTTTTTTTCTAAAGCAAACTAAGGACATGTTAATTTCGTAATTTAGTCTAATGGCTTACATTTCAAATATTCGAATCCAGAAGATTTATTAATGTATTTCAATTTCCCGGTGTAAAGTTTATGGTTTTATTATAAAAGTGTGGTTTGTAATTAAAACTTATTAAACTTTTTTATATTTATTTAAGTTTCATAAAAAAAGAACGTTATTTTTCAGCTCAGTTAAACGAAGTCAATTATTTTGTTAGTAAGTTTACAAAACGATTCATAGTCTTGAGATGTTTTGATCTTTCGAAAATTACATTGTTTATACATTTGTAATTTTAATATTCCTCATATAAATTTTTTTATTATGATGTAATTTACTATAAAATTTACGTTTTTGGCGGGGTTTTCTAATAATTTTTATAAAAAATCACTTTTTAACTTATCTATCAAGGTTCTACTGATATGTTTAATAGACGCAATTTACGATATCACCTTGAAAGCGCTTTTATAATTTTAGTTGTATAAAGTGTGGACTTTTAAATATCATAAGACTCTTATAATAAATTTTATAGTATTTATTAAAGTACTCTTATGTTGTATTATTATTTTTGATCTCATTTGTTAATTATCTATTAGCATTGCTTGTTAGTGAAGGATATTTTGTAGTGTCCTAATTATTTATAGTTTTTTTTTCTTTTTCTTTATTTCAAATGGCGTCATTTCGAGAAAAAGTGTACTACAACATAATGATAGTAATCGATTTATAGGGTAAAATAAAATTAGATTTTTTTTAATAGATTTCTTGATGGTGTACACTATCTGTAATACACCATCATTTAAGTATTTTGAATTAAAAAATAAATAAATTCTAAAATTCGAGCACATATTTCCACATTAACTACTCGAAATTCTTTTGTTTCACTTTTAAAGTAAAACTGTTTTGATCGCATTTTCACTTCAATGTTAAGTACATAATATCTTAATTAAGGAGTTCTGATTACAAAATGAATACTTAAAATATTTTTGATTTTGGGCTGTGAACATAAATTTTATATGTCCTCTATATATTTTCATATTAGTCCTCAAGTTATAAATTAATAATTAGTCAATGAAAACACTTTTAATAAACTTATTACACTTTTAAATTTAATTAGCTAGAAAATGCCGAATAGATAAATTCAAATAATAAGGACTGGTTCTCGCAAGAAAATAGAAAAAGAGTCGAATATTTATTGAACAACGTCAGTTTTGGGTAATAACAAAATTCGTTCATTTAAATTATGCATACGTTATACGAAAAAATTAAAATTTTAGCAAACTCAACTCAATAAAAGCTATTTAATAAAACACGAAATTTGTATAATAGGACATTTCCCTATGGAAATTTCAGTTTCAAACTTGTGTTTACACTTGTACGAACTTATATTCTTAAATTAAAATTTGCCTGACCGTTTGTAACACTAAGAATAATTTCATGAGATATGGATTCAAGCATATGTTTTTGATCGGCGTCTAATTCTGAGTCGGTTTAACCATGTCTGTTCGTCTGACAATTCGCCCGTTTGTCCGTCCGTCCCAACAATAGTTCAAAAGCTATTGCGCTAAGTTTTCCAAATTTTCACAAATGATTTATTATAGCCTTATTTAAATTAAAGGTATAATCGGAAAGTTATCAATGCAGATCGATGTGTAATCATGTAAAAATCACGCACGAAAATGCATCAATATGGTAATACCTTAAAGTTTGGTGTCCAAAAATGTCAAAAATACGTATCGTATGCGCATCATATTAAATCAGCTTGTGCATCAATTTTGTTTGTGATTTTGTATTGATGCAAAGTTTTTTAAGTGGAAGCTGACAAGCAAATAATTTATTATTTTAACTCAATAACTAACAAAGATAATTATTTCTTTATGCATAAAGTTAATTATTTCTATTATTAATATTTTTAAACTTTCCATTATACGTTATTAAAATCTCCAAAGCTTAATTGAAATTAAAAATAATTTTTAATAGATTCTCAGTTGTTAATAATTTTAATACTAATATACAAACCTTTTCAAAATAAACGCCAAAAAACATATGATTTAGAAAGTGTTCAAAAAGTCTAAGTAATACCGCATCAACAAGGTAAACGCATCACATCGGTATAGCATCAGCAAATTGTTTTTGCATCGATGCTGCAAAATTTGCATTTTGATTACTTTCCGATTATACCCTATGTAGGTAAAGTCATTGAAATTACTTGGCTTCTTCCGATAGTTGCCATACAACTTAAAAAGTTATCGCTATATCTTAGGAACTGTTTCACCTAAAACTATTTTCGTTAAAAGTTGTTGAAACCTCATAAGCGCTTGTGATAGCTGCCAAAAGTTATTTGGCCGTATCTCAGAAATTATTCAGTGCATAGATTTGAAAATTTGCATAAGCAAATATGTTGCAAGGGCTGTTATGTTTTTAAACAGTTTATAGCTTGGATTAGTTTGTTTTAGGTCTAATTTGAAAGTCCTATTCAACCCGTTTTGAATTTGAATTCAAGGCTCGTTTCTTTTGTAGTTTTTTATGACAATCAATTCATGACTTTCTTGCTTTTACGGAGCTTGTAAATCCATTTTTTTTGTACACAGCAATTTTTCAACAACATGCACTTTTACAACTTTGAACTGGAGTTAGAAGACGTAAACATTTTATTATAGAGGATTAATACTTTGACTCAGTTAACTTGTCTACGAATTTTAATTCTTGTTCCGTCAAAGGTATACAAGTTTTGTAATGACACGGAGAAGCAGAATACAATCACACATTTTTTGCCTATTTTTTTTGGAATTTAACTAAATAGTGTGCTATTGAAAATTAAGGCATGCATTTTATATTAAATAAAAAAACGGGCAAATTTCGAAACGTCTTGAATGTTAGACATTATGTTTATGTATATTAAATTCAAAAATTTTTTGTGTCCATTTGTGTAATGACGTTGAATTTTCTAAATTTATTCCAAAATATCTTGAAATTACTCATAATTACAATAATAAGCGATTTATAAAATTTTTTGGGTTTTCCACATTACAAAAGCTAAAACTTGAATGATATGTTAATATCAGGAGTACTGAGTACTCCAAATAAACTACTTGAAATAATCTTATAAGCTGCGATTAATGTTCTTTACAAAGAGATATGAATAATAATTCTACTCATATTATCTAACACATTAAAAATGGGACGTTTGAGTGGAAAATTACATTGAACGGAAAATCTTATTTGAAAGTCTAAACTAATTTCATTAGAATTTTATTGAAGCAACAAAAATTTCGTGTAGAAGTGGTAGCAAATTATTTGAAAATTTGCGTTTTTTATCAACCGCATTGCATACAATAAGAGAGGTAATATGATAGCAACAAAATTTGCGTATCGTGTTTTCGGTGCAAATGCACTTCTCCATAATTACGAAACGTAAATTAACTGTTATTTATATACAAGAAATGTTGGTCTGTCTGTCTGTCTGTGTGTGCACGCGTGTTTCTCAAGATAGACTAAATCGATTTAGATGAAATTTAAATGGGAGTTTATTTTGGCTTTTACACGGATTGATAAATTTTTGGGATATAAAAAAATTCGGAAGGTAGATCTTTGTACAGGCCGATTTTACATTTTTGTGTTTATAAAGACAAATAATCAACCAATTTCCTTGAAATTTAAATGAATAAATATTGAAAGATCAGGGCTCGGAAACCGAACTGGGATTTTAGATTTTTTATCATATCCACGGAGCATATTGATAGAATTTCTTGAAATTAGATATTTGAGCTCTAGTTCTTATCGAAACTGTCTGGTGAAGTTTTCAGAGAATTTGGGTGGCACAAAGCGCAATTCTACTAAGAGCGAAATTCGCCTTCTAGATATGTTAACTAAATGCTTGTTAACATCCTTAAAATTGAAAGGAAGAGTGTAAAAGGCATTTTGATAATATTTTGTATCACTTTCACTAAATTAGACAAGGAACATGTTGCCTATAGCTGTAATAAGTTTTAATAACTCGTCAGACATCTATTTTTTGACAATATGCCAAGTAGCATATAGTATTTTTTTATTAAATCAAAGATTTTTAGTTACATTTCAAATTAGTTTCGCTACTGAATTTTTGTTTCAGTTCAATAAATTATCAAAAATTTTCATCTTCAATTCTCAGTGTTTGATAGACTATTCTGTCTAAGCTACCAAAACCTATTCCCCCAATCGCGAAAATATTGCAAAGCAAAAAAATATTTATAAAGGTATTGCTTATAAATTTTAAATCTAAAAAGAAAAATATATTGCAAGTAAAAGTAAAATAAGAGTAATTGTTCACTTTTTGATTTATTTTACTCATCAAAATGCATTATGTATATAAAGTTGAATCACAAACATACACAAAGGAAAAAACTTATTGTTCTATGTGTACCACTTAATTACATTTCGTTTTAATTGATAAGCCACCACTCAAGAATTTAAAACCGGTTTTTTCAATAATCTCTTCTATGTTATCACAAAAAAGCAAATATCTTATCTTAGAATTTTTGCGAATATAAAAGAAAGAAAATATCCTTACAAAATCATTATTTCTTAACTCTCATCACAAATAACAACAAAATTGTTATATTAAGTTTAAATATGAAATTCGCAATCGTTTTAATAAGTTTTCTTGTAGCAGCTACAGCTACTATTGTACCTCGCCCTGGATTCCCAGAAGAGGACACTTTCCGTGGTCGTGTAATTAATGGAAAACCAGCCCAAGTTGGAGAAGCACCATATATTGTTTCGTTAACAAGCAGTCCTTCTGGTTCACACTTCTGCGGTGGTTCTATCATTCATGAACAATGGGTTCTTACAGCTGCTCATTGTATTCTAGGGGGATCTATTTACGTTCATGCTGGTCTTCATGATAGAAACAATAAAAATGGACAAACTGTTCGTGTAGAAAGAGTTTTCTCTCATGAGAAATATGGAGGTGGAGTTGGGCCATATGATATTGCTTTGTTACGGTTAGAATCACCATTGACTTTAAGCGATCGTGTTGCTGTTGTTTCATTGCCAACAGCAGTATCACAACAAAATGGTGTATGCAGTTTATATGGATGGGGTAAAGACACACCATGGGGTGGATTACCAAATCTTTTGCAAACCGTAACAACAGATTTAGTTCCATATGCTGAATGTGCTCGTAAATTACCAAGTGGATCACCAATTCACTCAACTAACATTTGTTCCGGATCACGCAATCAACAAATCTCAGCATGCAATGGTGACTCTGGTGGTCCATTAGTACAAAAAGAAAATGGACAAACAGTTCAAGTAGGTGTTGTTTCATGGGGATACATTCCATGTGGCCAAGCAAATTATCCTTCAGTTTACACACATACTGGATCTTATTTGGAATGGATAAGAAGCAAACAAGCTCTCTATTAAATAAACAGTCCTCAAATCAAACTTTATTTAAATCCTTAAAAATCAAACAGTCCTTAAAAATCAAACTTTATTTAAATAATATTTTGTATTTATTTCATCATTTCATCATAAATCATTTTGTAATAAAATTGATAATTTTAATTATTAAAAAAATTAAATATTCGAAAACATGTGCTTTGTTTACATTAAGTGTTCCTTTCTCTAGTAAATTTTTAACCATAGTGATAAATATTAACTCATTTTAAATGGGTATGTCATAAATATTATTTAAATTTTGAAAAAAGGCTCAATTTACAGAAAACATTAAGCGAATTAAACTGTAAGTGCTGCATGAGTCTCGAAAAATGGGCGAAAAATCTAAAATCAAATCTACGATTAAATTCGAATACTGCTTAAATATCGAACTATAACCTAAAAAAAATAAAAATCAACAGCTCAAGCTGTTTCAAAAGATTATTTGACGCCATTTTACTTTTTAATAAAGAAGTTTGACGCTTTATATGGATTGTGGTAAGGTTAATAGACCTTAAAAGTATAAAAAACTTAACACTTTTAACCATTTATAATAATTTTTACTAACACGTACATCAAAATATCTTTAAAGACATCAATTTAAGGTACTGTTTACAGATACAGCAAAATCTGAGTCTGATGTTTACAGATACAGCAAAATCAGAGTCTGATAAAAGTCATCATTTCAACACTGTTTGACATCATACTTTATCTCACGACTGATACATAGTAGAAATTACTCTATTCCCTTAAAATTTACTGTCTTTTTAGGGCTTTTCCAAAAAAAATTAAAAAAAAAGGCATATACAAAACTTCTAGACCTTTAAAGATAGAAAGTTGAAATTTTATACATGAATTGGTCTTTACTAGAAACTTATTTTCTAGTAAAGACCAATTCATGTAGAAAAACATTTTTACCTATCTCCCCCCTCTGAAACTCATTGAAGAACTGAAGTTGACTATTTATTGTATCGGAACCACAAATATTTTTTAAATTCTGTAAATGCACAAGAGTAGTAGATTTTCTACCGCGGCATTGATCTGTTGACCCTAAAAAAACGAAACGACCGTTAAAATTAACTGTTATTCAAAATAGGGTTTTTTCAAATTTTGATGCCGCTTACGGTAAACTTACGACAACAAACTGACAGCAAATGTCATGTTATTCAAAAATATAATTATTTTTCTTGACTCTTGACCCATTTGATAATGGGTCAAGAGTCAAGATAATGCTTGCTAAGAGTCAAGATAACCAATATGATAATGCTTTTTTCAATTTTTTTTTTCTCATCGCAAATGTGTGCAAAAATTTGATATATAATTTAGCATGTAATAAAACTAATTTCAATGGCATAGTAAAAAAATGGCCCTTGCAAGCAGTGTTTTAACTTTTTGAAGAAAACATTGGTACCACTGGTTTGACCCTCCGTTATTTAAAAGAAAAATAGCATCAAATAATCTTTTGAGACAGCTTGATCAGTTGATTTTTATTCTTTTTAGGTTATAGTTCTATATTTAAGCAGTATTCGAATTTAATCGTAGACTTGATTTTAGATTTTTCGCCCATTTTTCGAGACTCATGGAGCACTTACAGTTTAATTCGCTTAATGTTTCCTGTAAATTTAGCCTTTTTTCAAATTTTAAATAATATTTTATGACATACCCATTTAAAATGAGTTAATATTTATCACTATGGTTAAAAATTTACTAGAGAAAGGAACACTTAATGTAAACAAAGCACATGTTTTCGAATATTTAATTTATTTAATAATTAAAATTATCAATTTTATTACAAAATGATTTATGATGAAATGATGAAATAAATACAAATATTATTTAAATAAAGTTTGATTTTTAAAAGTAGGACTGTTTATTTAATAGAGAGCTTGTTTGCTTCTTATCCATTCCAAATAAGATCCAGTATGTGTGTAAACTGAAGGATAATTTGCTTGGCCACATGGAATGTATCCCCATGAAACAACACCTACTTGAACTGTTTCTCCATTTTCTTTTTGTACTAATGGACCACCAGAGTCACCATTACATGCTGAGATTTGTTGATTGCGTGATCCGGAACAAATGTTAGTTGAGTGAATTGGTGATCCACTTGGTAACTTACGAGCACATTCAGCATATGGAACTAAATCTGTTGTTACGGTTTGCAAAAGATTTGGTAATCCACCCCATGGTGTGTCTTTACCCCATCCATATAAACTGCATACACCATTTTGTTGTGATACTGCTGTTGGCAATGAAACAATAGCAACACGATCGCTTAAAGTCAATGGTGATTCTAACCGTAACAAAGCAATATCATATGGCCCAACTCCACCTCCATATTTCTCATGAGAGAAAACTCTTTCTACACGAACAGTTTGTCCATTTTTATTGTTTCTATCATGAAGACCAGCATGAACGTAAATAGATCCCCCTAGAATACAATGAGCAGCTGTAAGAACCCATTGTTCATGAATGATAGAACCACCGCAGAAGTGTGAACCAGAAGGACTGCTTGTTAACGAAACAATATATGGTACTTCTCCAACTTGTGCTGGTTTTCCATTAATTACACGACCACGGAAAGTGTCCTCCTCTGGGAATCCAGGGCGAGGTACAATAGTAGCTGTAGCCGCTACAAGAAAGCTAATCAAAACGATTGCGAATTTCATATTTAATTTAATCTAGTTTTTATGCTGTTATTGTTGTGAATTATAGAAAAATAATGACTTTGTTAGAAAATTTTCTTCCTTTTATATTCGCAAAAATCGTGAGATAAGATACGGATTTAATTTTATTTGATGTTTAATATTTAATTCATAATATCAGTGCTGTAATTGAAAAAAAAGCAATTATAGGTAAACTAAAATTTTTCCTACACAGTAAATCAGAATGATGAATCATAATTTTTACGTATTAACTTTGATTTTGAGAAAAGGCTATTATATATTATTATTGTTTGTAGTTATAATAAGGACTAGTTCAAAAAGCAGATCGTATTAAAACACAATACTCGCTCTAATTCGTTGTTTTGTCTTGATAGTTCATTGATTTGTCAAGAAAAGAGGGGCTGGTAGAAAATTAAAATATTTAAAAGTTATGAAATATTTGTTGGAACCTGCTGTACAACTTCAAAATTAATACTCAATCATTGAGTTGATTTGTTAAAATTTTTAAAATTGTATTTGTTAATGTTTGCGTGTTGTGAATTAATTTGTGTTATGTGATAACCAAATATTTATGAAAAGCCAATTTGAAATTATAACAATAATCTGCGAATGTAAAACTATTAAGAAAATGTAATTTAATAAACTTTATTTCAATTTGCCACATTACTTTTGGACTAAACTCTTTAAGAGCTCAAACTCGTCATAAAACCATAATCTCTTGGCCACTGAAATTCTTACTTTTAAAAATTTACAAGGAAATGAAAATTTGTCTATGAATCATGAAATATAAAAAGACGTAGTTCCATTTTTTTTCAATACGTACTTAGGTTGAATTAGATTAAACGTAATAAAATATTTCAAGGAAAATTTTATTGATAACGAAGGTGGGAATTTTCAAGAATAGGAAAACTAAAATAATTATAAGTGGCTGAGTTTTTAAGTAATTTGGTAAAAATTATTACCTTGGAACCCATGATTTTTAACACATCGTCATATTAAATGTTGTCAAGATGGAGTCATATGCTGAATGTATGACTTGTACTGCCTGCAAAGCCATCACACACTGTACATGTAATTCAAAGTTTGAGGCTTGACTGTTTCATTACTACAAGAAGTGTTGCATAAGAGAAAAGTAATGAACTTTGAATAATTTTTTTAGCTTACGCTAGTGTGAAAATAAAGAAGTGGCTAAATACCATTTTTTCAAAAAAAATTGTCGTAGATGTGTGATAAACTTTTTTTAAAAACTCCAAATAAAAAATTGCTTACTTGGCTCTTCTGCTGACATTGTTGTACAATTTTCATTCTTGTGTGAATAAAAATCCTTATTTAACTTTTTAATATCTAAATTTTTCTATGCCAAACTAATTTACGATTTTTAGAATTATTCGAAAATTCTGAATCTAATTCGTTTTGATTGATAATCTAAGTGGAGACTACATTTTTGTTACATAAAATCCATGTTACATAAAATCTTCCATGTTACATAAAATCTTGTGAAACTGTATTGCAAATAAACATTTTAAGTAAATTTGGAGTTCTACTCGGAAATTTCTCATTTTTTCGAAAATATAAATATGCACATTTTTCTGCGAATAATTATTGTCTATGTTACAATTCTATATGGATTTTAGTAGGTAATATGTATGTAGATTTTTCGATTAATATCCGCGCTGTTACCAATAAAGAATAGACTATAATAATCATTATTTTTGTATGTACTTGGAACCTTCAAATTTATTTAGGTAATATGATATAATAAAATATTATTTGTTGTCTTGATAATATTTTTTTAATGCGACTTAATAAGATACACGCGACTACTTCGTTAGATTAATTAAAAATATCAGCATTTTTATATGTACATTTTGTATTATCTCAAGTAGAATTTGTACAGCTATTAGTCTATAATTTAACTAAGTAAAAGAATATTGAAATTATAAGGGTTATTTTTAGCTAAAAGTTTTTTTTTCACAAGTGGCACATACTAAATGCGTTTATCAGTTAATACTTTTAAAAGCTTGTCCTGTAATTGAAATTAAGAAGAAAATCGAACTTGGTATAGTTTGATTAATACCAACACAATATAATATCAATTTACGTTTTGGTTTGCGTATTGTAGTGACATTTACATTTAGATATATGTATGTACATAGTTATTTTTTTTATTTATTTCTTTATTTTGTTTAATACTATTTAACAACAATAATAGGATTGTAGTATGTATCTATAATAATTTTGGAAGTATATATTTCTTCTTTAGATGAATTTAATAAAGTAAAGATCAAAAAGAAACTACTACTAATCAAAATTAACTTTTACATATTCAATTATTTGCTTTTTAAATAATTTAAAATCCTCTATACATTTGATCTCCCGAGGTAGTTTATTAAAAACTTTTAATCCATTACATAGTACAGATTTTTTGGCACCTTCAGTGCGGAAAAATACAGCCTAAAGTTGAAAATATTTCTTAAGAAATTGTGATGTACATGTTCAACGTAAATAAGCCTATTGCACAAATACCCCGGTAATATTTTTGCCTTCATTTTAAAAACAAATAAATAAACGTCAAACTTTAATCTTTAATTTACCCTAAGCCATTGTAAAGCATCCAACATAGATATATAAAATCTACATAGATACATAGATATATAAAATCTATGGCATCTAAGAATTATGCGCATTCCTTTATTTTGTAATTTTTGCAGTTTTTCAATCTGCCCAGCTGAACAAAACACCAACACCGTTGAACAGTATTCAAAATGTGGCTTTATAATAGAATTATAAACTTTTATGAAAGTATTTGAATATATTTGATTACGTATCTTAGAAAGAAAGTAAATCTTTTTCGCTATTTTCTTACATATATATAATCGAAGTGACATTTAAAGTTTAATTTATTATCAATAATTAATCCAAGATATTTAATTTCAACTACTTCTTCCAGTGGAATTTTATCGACCAAAACACTATTCATTAAATTGACATTGATGACCATTACTTTAGATTTTTTTACATTTAACATGAGTTTATTTTGCTTAAACAATTGACTTAGGTTATTCAAATCACTGTTTACCTTCGTCAAACACTCCTCTATTGAATCGCCGTTTACATACAATAGAGCGTCATCCGCAAATAATAATTATTTTGAGAATTCAAGTGCTTTCTCTATGTCATTTATATAGGTCAAAAATAACAGAACCCGTTAGATTGTTCCTTGTGGCACCCCTAAATCAACTAAAAAAGCTCCAGATACCAAATCATTGATTTTTGTGCGTTGTCTTTTATTTTTTAAATAATAGTAGAACCAATTTAACTCAGTTCTGCGAACATCATTGTTTTTTTATTTTTATTAAGAGTATGTCTTGATCAATAGTTTCGAAGGCCCTCTTTAGGTCAATAAATACTGCTAGAATAACTTTTTTATTGTTTACTTCCACTCTCCAATTAGTAATGACCAAATTCAAAAGCATTTCGCAACTATATGCTGCTTCCGAAACCCAACTTGGTACTCAAAAATCAAATTATTTTTATCTAAAAATTCAAACAATTGATTATAAATAACCTTTTCCAGTATTTTAGCTTCTCTTATTATCATGTGTATTATTATCATCACATTCAATTGAATTTTTTATTTTTTCAACTGGTACAATTACTGACTCCTTCCAAAAATCTGGATAACATCCTCTCCTCATTGATTCGTTTAGTAACCCAGTGACAGTATCACCAATGTAAAAACAATCTACAATAACTTGGACACTCATAAGATTTATATCTTTTTTTTGTTCATAGATTTTAAAATTTGTTTTAGCTCGTTTTTATTTATTTGCCTAAATTTAAATAGCATTTGAAATAGTGCAACTCTGTTGACAAATGGTACATTTTGAATACTACTATTAATTTGAATTATACTTTCCTTAAAATAATTATTAAAATTATTGGCTATTATGTATAAATAACATTTCCAAATTTAAGTTCGATAATTTTATTCACATACTTTTTTAAATGTGTTCTTTTAAAAAGAATAAATGTATTCATTAAAAACTCATTTTTTCTTAGTTCTATAAACTTGTAATTATTTCTCACTATTTTATAATTTTGCCATTCTTTAACATTATTTGTCCATACCGCTGTTCTATATTTATTAATTTTATCATTTTTCATTATTGCAAGTTCATTATTATACCATTCATTATTACTCGTATTATTATTATTAACCTTTTTTTTAATTACAAATTTATCTATAAATTTCTTAAATTCAATACTAAAAATATTTACCTTATTATCAAAATATTCGTAAAATGTAATTAACAATTGACTATTGCAAAGCAAATTAATGAAACTCTCTTTAATATATCGTAGAATTTTGAATTCTTTTTGAATGTTTTTTTTCAATTCTAGTTTTTCCAATTATAATTTGTAAGCTCTCATGATCACTAATTTAAAATTTTTTTTCACTTTTACTTTAATATTGGTATTAAAGATCTACTAGTTACTGTAATTCTCGTAGGTTCACTTATCAATTGTTTCAGAGCTGAATCAACTAAAATTTGATTAATCTTATATTTTTGAGAAGATTCCACTAACCAGTTAACATTAAAATCACCCGTTATTATAATATCATTTCGAACACCCTCAATATCATTTAATAAAATCTTCGAAATGATGGCAAAATAAACTATATGAATATGATTGATTGAACTATATGAACTATATGAATATGATAGCTTCTACCTGTGTCTCAATGCTTTTAATTTTTGTATTTTTCTCATTGCACATAGCACATAATACAAAAACAAATTAGTTTGTATTAATTAAAAATAACTACCCTTTCCCTAAAATATCCCTTCCTTTCCCTGCCATATACATATACATATATTTAGTTATCCAATTTGGAAGTATAAAATAATTAATAAAATAAAGTTTTAAGTAAAAATTAAGCGGGTTTTAACGTTTTTGACTTAGAATTTCATTGTGAATTCCCGGTATTGCATTCAAAGGAATCAAGGTAATTCTAATGGTCTATTTTTTCCAAAACTCTAAGCCTACAAAAATTTCCTATTAATGTTAACCGTTTTTAAAATATTTAATTCAAAGTTACATAAAAAAGACTTATTACTAACAATAAGTATCAATTTCAGATTATCAACCATATAATCCAACTCTAATCACATTCACTTCAAAAAAATTGTTATCTTACACTATTTAACTTCTATATAAACCATGTGTGTTAGTCAAATGAATATTAGTTTAAAAATTCTATTAACAGATTAACAATGAAATTAGCAATCACCTTAGCAAGTATTTTGGTAGTAGCTACTGCTACAGTTGTACCACGTCCAGGTTTTCTTGAGGAAAATACTTTCCGTGGACGTGTAGTTAATGGACAAAACGCACAAGTTGGAGAGGCACCTTATATTGTTTCATTGACAAGTAGCCCAACCGGCTCACATTTCTGTGGGGGCTCTATTATTCATGAACAATGGGTTCTTACCGCCGCTCATTGCATTCTTGGAGGATCAATTTATGTTCATGCTGGTCTTCATGACAGAAATAATAAAAATGATGGTCAAACTGTACGTGTAGAAAAAGTTTTCTCACATGAAAAATATGCTGGCGGAGTTGCACCTTATGATGTTGCATTATTACGTTTAGAAAAACCATTGACATTAAATTCTCGTGTTGCTATTATTGATCTTCCCGATACAGAAAAACAACAAAGTGGAGTATGCACCTTATACGGATGGGGTAAAGATACACCATGGGGTGGACTACCAAATATTCTTCAAACTGTTACCACCGATTTATTTGCTTATTCTGAATGTGTTAAGAAACTACCAAGCGGATCACCAATACATTCGACTAATATTTGCTCTGGATCACGCAATGCACAAATTTCTGCTTGCAATGGAGACTCTGGTGGTCCACTAGTACAAAAAGAAGGTGGCAAAACCGTTCAAGTTGGTTTAGCCTCATGGGTATATATTCCATGTGGTCAATCTAATTATCCATCAGTTTACACTCACACAGGTTCTCATTTACAATGGATTAGAAGCAAACAAGCATTATATTAGAAAAGCTATTTATTAAAATATTTGCAAAGTAGCATGTGAATATGTATTGAAAAATTTAATTTATTATTTTTGATTGAAAATAAAAGTATTTAATTAAAATTGAAGTCTAATTATTATTATATACAATAGTTTAATTTTGATAAACCGAAAGCTATTTTTGCTGCCAAAAATAAAATAACTAGAGATATTTATGGTATAGCAAACATTTTTCAGGTCAACTTTTGTATGAAAAGTGTTATTGTGTTAAAGAATTATTTGTAATAAACCATTCTTATCTGAACTTTCCTTTTAGTTTTAAAAAATTACTGAAAATCTGTTTATTAATTATATTTAGAACTAGAAATAAACGAAAGGACCTTTTTATAGGGTAATAATGTGGTATCGTCAGAGAGGTTTTCACGTTATATATTTCAAAACTTTTTAAAAGAGACAAATTATTTATATCGATTTGAATCGGTAACTCAGTGGTTGCGTACGATTCATAACTCAAGAAGTTAGAATTCGATTCTGGTTTTTTCAATATTTGTATAATAAACAATAAAGATAAGTATTTGTAAACAATACAGATAAGTATTTACAATTAAAAAATCAGTTACGAACTATGTTTTCAATTTTCGAAAAAGTAGTTATTTTCGAAAAAGTAGTTCGTATAGAACACACGATAGAATTGTCATTCGCTAATAATTTTAAATTTACAAAATTCAACATAAGCTACATATCATTATTATTGCTACATAAATATTAAAAATATCTGTTTTATTTAGGTACGTACATTTTAGTAGCCGTGAGAGGCAGCTCACATTTTACAAAATTTACACAAACAATATTATTTATTGCTGTATATAATAGATGAATGGCCTGGTTTTTGTGCAAAATTGACAATATAAAATGACAGTGCCCCTTATTATGATTCATATTGACTAAATTTATAAGAAAGAAATACGCAAAAACTGATTGCTTGTTAATTTTAAGGGATAAAAGTTCCTAATTTGAGGGAAAGAATAATATTTTCTTAAGTCTAGATTGTTATTCTAAAGTGAAAAGAACGGGCAGAGGTGGATGCTCAATTTATTTATGTGTACCGTTTAACTTATCTTAACTTAGAAAAGTGCAATAAAATTTATTAAGACACACTTCAACAACGATTTTATGAGCTGATTGAGTATAAAGATTAATAGATATTTTTACTAGTTTATTAGAATTTGTTTTATAGATTAAATTATTTTATAACTGAGGGAATTTCTCACTTTCTGTTTCCGAATTTCCATTATACGTAACATTTATTTCCAGCTACTGAGTTATCTATTTAAGTTATAAAATAAATTAAATATAAAAAAATTTCAATTGGAATCTAAATCTTTTAATAGCTTTCTTTATCACAAAATTAAAGTATTAATATAAAAATTACTTGTCGTGTGTTTGCTACTTGAAAAATATTATAAAAAATTATAAAATTTCTAATGAAATTGTACGAAAATAGTAAAATCTCTACAGGCTATTAGTATTTTTATAACTTTTGGATTTCCCTATCTCTAATCAAAAATTTTTTTAATCAAAAAGTTTACAATTTATTAGTAAATTAGTCCATATAACAATTATATGAACGGATTTTTTATTTCTATACTACTTTCAAAATGGTTTAACCGGATTTTTATTGGAAATTATAATTTTGTTAGGACAGCTATTTTAAAAAAACTAATAAAATTATGACAAGCATTTCCAAGACTTTTTAATTTCACAAATCACAGAAAGATCTAATCATAATCAATTACCCTAAAATATGACAAAATTAAAAAAATTGTTCCTACCGTTACTTGACACACAAATATTAAGCACTTGAGATATCGGTAATAGAAAAATATCCATATTTTAAGGCACGTATGTATTTTAAATTCCAAAAATTTCTGATTTTAAAGAAATACTTACGATTAAATATCATATCATGAATGATACCGCAAATAATTAGAAATTGTACGTACAAATTTAAGAGCAATATTATTTCCCTTGTAAAAAATGTATCAATACAGTTTCTTGTTAAAAAGAGGCTTGTTCAAAGTAACACTCAAAATGAATCATGATTCTATTGACCGTTTAGTTTATATTTTATCGTACCCAAGTTCATTCCATATTTCATAAAAGAAACTGAATGTTTCCAGAATTTTGGACTATCTTTAATTTTGCGTAATCCTACTTTGACTGCGATAAATTCATCAGCTTTTATGGTATTGGAGCGCCCACCAATGGATGCTGATTTAAAGTCTGTTCAATATTTTTAGTAATTTCTAAGAGAATACGTTCCAAATATTTTTTTGTGTGCAAAACCAGTTTCAAATAATTAACCTATTTAAACTTTATTCGTGAAAAAGCTGCATTGTATCCTCTTCGGGAAAATTTCATATCATAAATAATGAGTAAAATTTTCATTTTACGAAAATTTCTCAGCTGACATCCCACTAAGTTTCTTTGCGTTCAAAAAAAAATCTGATGTGGTCAGCACATAACCGACCACAATGTGTATTGTCTAGTTAAGTGAAAGTGTTACAGAATATTTTAAAAATGTCTGTTAAATACTTCTTTCCCATTTTTAGGACATTAGGAAGCTTATAGTTAACATACCGAGAAAAATGTAAATTTGGCTCATAGTAAGGTTTCGCTTTGTGCTACCCGAATTCTTTGAAATGCTCGTCAGTTAGTTTCGGTAACAACCAAAACTGAAATATCAAATTTCAAGAAATTTCATCAATTAGTTCCGTAGATATGGTGAAAAAAGTAATATCGGCCTGCAAATCAGTTTTCGAGTCCTGATCTTTCCAAAAAATTTATATGTTCATTGTTTTAGTATGAAGAATTTAAATATTAAATTTCGATGAAATCGGTTGATTATTTCTCTTTATATACGCAAAAATGTATATTTGGCCCGTAGTAAACGTCCAGTTGCTGATGCCTGAATTCTCCCAGAAGTTAGGAGATTTCGCAGATGGTCGAGCGAAGCTTACATATGAAATTTCAAGTAAATTTGTTGAATATTTTCTTCAAAATGACCAAAAATGTAAAACAGGTCTGCTAAAAAGTGCAGTTCCCGAGGCTTGATATGTCCCAAAAGTTGATCAATCAGTGCCATGGTCGAAATAAACTTACATATAAAATTTCGTCAAAATCGGTTGAGCCGAATTTGAGATACACGCGTGCACACACAGATCGACAGACCGACAGGTTGCTAAAAATAGTTTTACACTTCCCTAATATGGAGAAGTGCATTCCCACCAAAAACTGGATACGCAAAATTTGTTGCCATCACATGACCTACCTATTTTATACACAATACGGTAGGTAAAATAAAGCGTATTAGATTTATTTTCACCTACTTGCATGGCTGTTTTGCTGGAGCAGAAATATTATAATGTGATTAGTTAGGTGTTAACAACAGACCCTGGCTAACAGCATCAGTTGGTGGGTCTACACACAGGAAGGGTCCTGTCGATCAGGGTCAGTTGAAAATTAGGTCAAATACCGTCGGGTATGCAATGCCTAACAACGGCGCTACAATAATTGCAGCAAATGTTTCAAATAGTTTGAGTTTTTAAAGTATTTAATGTGTCAAAAATTTTAATTGTAATCAATAAATTTTTGTAATCATTGCAATAAACTAGGAAACCATTACGTAGTTCTAAAACTATTAATATTGTTGTTTACTAATAACAATAATGTATGACAATAATGTATGAGAAAGTATTATCCTTGATTACATCAATATAGCCAAGTGCTGCTGTTGGAAAGATATTACGTAAATCACATCACTAATTCTTTAACTGTAAAATCAAAACTCAGAATCTTAATAATTTAATACCAAGCCACCATTTGTAAAATTCCTGTAATACTTTTTCGAAATTATTGATATTTTGTTTAACAATGGTGAAGGTGCAAGAGTTCTTGTTATTTCGCACGAAAAAACAAAGCAAGTGTGAAAATTTTTCCTTTGATGTTTTCACTTAAGCGAACTTTAATTAGAAAATTGAGATTTGAGAGCATTTCTTGTAGCGTATTATGTATCTCTTATTCGAATTCGAATCGATTCAAACTACAAATATGCGAAATATAAATTGTGAAGTAGTAGTATGTTTTAAATTTTTACATATATTATAATTAATATTAACGCAAAAATGCATAGTGTTGAGAGATGGTTCGGTGTCAGGGAAGAAAATACGGAAGCAATCCAAAAATATTTTTGAACTCACCGAGGAAAGGTACAGCAAAAAAAAATACAATGTTCTTAATATAAACAAAATTTTTATTTTTAGCTTTATAATGAACTTCAGGTCAAATAAAGAATCGTTTAGATATGTACTTGATGAAATATGTAATGAACTCAACACCGTACTCAGATCTCCGGGGGTATCACCAATAATTAAATTGGTCAAGATTGGCACGTGATTAGCACAACCTAAAATCATAGTCCAGCTAGGTCAGTAATATAAATAGTTTTCGAGATTGTGAAAGGAAGATTTCGTTACTTACTTGTTGCACATGAGCAACAAGTGCATCTTTTTTCAATGCTTGTTGTGCTCTACACAATGTCTTAAAATTGGATTCAAGAACGAGGAAAATATTGATGATGATTTTAATTATAATATAAATTATAATTTAGAAAATGATTCACCAATATTAGATGTAGCAAAATAAAGTTGGGTCAAACCAATGGTTTGTATTGTAGCACTTTTCTCTTCAACAAGTGAAAATTCAGCTTTTAAATATAGTCTATGTATACCTATCACCCTATTAAAATTATTTTCATTCATATACAAAACTATTTCTAGGATTGCATATATTTAGGATGAACGATTTACGCAGTCTTTGAAATAAAGAAAAAATTAATATAAAGTAGGGTTAACATAATGCTCGATTTTAAGGGTTAATGTTATGGAATGTTATGGAATTTATCGTTAGCTTTTTGCGTTTATAGAAATTTGAAAAAGCTTGCGGTTTCGGAAATATAAGGCGTCAAAAATTCAAATTTTACAAATTTCAAGAAGCGATAACTTGAGAGGGGTGGAGATGGAAAAAAATTTTCTTCTAACGAAATGAACTATTTGTTAATGTCTAAAGCGCCTAAAATTTCAAGATTCTACAAGCTGGGGTCTAGAAGAAAAACGACATCAAAAATTTGAAAAAAATAGACTTTCGGTAACAGTAAATTTGAACGGCCATTTTGTTTTTCTAAAGTTTAACTATAGTATACCGCGCTATGGGAAGCAAGCCGCTGCCTTTAGGCGTTTGAAAAATTTCAAAAATGCTTATGGTTTCTTTGCAACAAATAGTTAAAAAAGGCCATTTTAGGGTTTTGGGGGGGTATAACTTCTAGAGGGGGGGAGATAGGTAAAAATTTTGTTCTACGGAAATAAGTTTCTAGTGAAGGTCTATGTAGGTGTTAAATCTCAGCTTTCTATCTTAAAGGGTGTAGAAGTTTTGTAAACAGACACACGGACAGTCGGACGGACGGACGGACAGAGTGAAACTATTAAGCACTTTTTTCAAAAATTTTTTGGAAAAGTGCTAAAAAGTAGTAGTACATACATAGAATGAACTAAATGTATAATGCTCTTTTATAATACTCCTATATTCTATTTTCATATTGCTACTTATTTTAACAAAAGAAATCAAAAGGGATTTACATTTTTAATTTTTATTGTATTTGCGTATTTTGAAATTTTCGTTACCGAACCAAATACTGGAAAATCGAGCAGTTTTTGATTCGAGTTTCGAGATTTATAGTTCAACAAAACGAATATAATCGTCAAAAAAAAATATTCGAGTCTCGAAAAAAAAACCTTTTCGTATAAATTCATTTTAAAATCGAATTACATAATAGAGCCATAGATCTGATTTAAAGAATACAATCGAGATCTTTGTTAATATACTCGTATACTTTCATAGACAATTTTTTATGAATTTCTTCCTTGTTCCGTAAGTTTTTTTGATTTATCTAAAGTATTATAATGATAAAATATTAAAATTATAAAAAAATTCTTTTTTTCTTAATGCGTTTTAAAAAATTTCATTTTTTATTAAAATTTCTATACAAAAAACAATCTAAAATCAAGAATATTAAAAACACTATTAAAAATTTGTCGAGTAATAGTTTAGTTGTATAATGCTTTCTTGCTGGCGATCCATGATAAGTGAGAACCAGTATGAGTGTATACTGATGGGTAGTTGGCTTCACCACATGGAATGTATCCCCATGAAACAACACCTACTTGTGTGAGTTGTCCATTTGAATCTTGTACTAATGGGCCACCTGAATCTCCATTGCAAGCGGAAATCTTTTGGTTGCGTGATCCAGAGCAAATGTTGGTTGAATGAATTGGTGATCCACCTGGTAATGCTCTAGCACATTCAGAATATGGTAATAAATCAGTGGTAACAGTTTGAAGAATATTTGGTAATCCACCCCATGGTGTATCTTTACCCCATCCGTATAAGGTACAAACTCCATTTTGTTGGTCATCAGATGTTGGGAGATTGATAACACTGACACGATCATTTAATTCAAGGGGTTGTGATAAGCGCATAATTGCAATATCGTATGGTCCTACTCCACCACCATATTGTTCATGTGAGAAAACTTTTTCTACAAGTACAGTTTGTCCATCTTTGTTGTTTCTGTCATGAAGACCAGCATGAACATAGATTGATCCACCAAGAATACAATGAGCAGCTGTAAGAACCCATTGATTGTCAATGATAGAACCACCGCAGAAATGTGAACCAGATGGGCTGCTTGTCAATGAGACAATATAAGGTGCTTCTCCTACTTTGGCTGGTTTTCCATTAATTACACGTCCACGGAAGATATCTTCTTCTGGGAAACCAGGACGTGGAATAACGTCAGCAGTTGCTACTGCAAGAACGGTTGCTAAAACAATTGCGAATTTCATGATGAAACAAACTCAACTATAACTTTTCGATTAATTTCCGTTATTTTTATAGTAAATGCTACTTAAGAAATTTTTTATTTAATCATTTGATCTACATTATTTGATTAGGACTTACTTGATAAGCTCATATTAATTAATGCGGCAATTTCTTTTAAAATTTGTAATGAATAAGGAAAAAACCATTCTTTCTACCACTATCAAGTGTTTGATGCCTAGATTAAGATAACAGAGTTTGAAATTAAAATCAAATTTCATATTTATCATTGCAGTATTAAAATTTCTAAGCTTCTATTCAATATGGAAATTTGGAAAGTGTTAATTTATGACTTTTAGATTAGATTTATTTAAAACGTTCTGATAAAATCAAAGCAATTTTAGAAGATTTCTAATCAAAAAACGATTATTTTTTAATTGCTAAATAAATGATAAAATATTCGCCACAACTACAGTAGTGCAATTATGTAACGAACAACAAAAATACATACAGCTTTGATTTATTTTAGAAAATATCAAAAGTACGAGGGAAACACCAATAGTACGAGGGATTGGGGTTTAGTATTTGAAAATTTACAATAAAAGCATTAAGCAGGATCTTGCAAATGTCTTTCCAGTATTATTTGGTAAATTCGTAACGTACAAGAACCTAATTATTAATGTAAATTTGGTTTAGTTATTTTCTTTGACCTATTATAAAAGTTTACTGTTTCGAGCAAGTGATCAATTTATCTTAAAAATGAAATTTTAAGAAGATCTATTAACATTATTTCTTTAGATATGTTTAAAGGTATGAAGTAGTTCTCTACAACGGAACCAGGGTTCTTGTTAGAGTATTCCTTGTTAATTTTTTTTTAAAACCGATTAAAACTTATACCTTTGGAATTACTTTCAAGTTTTTGATTCTCACTTATTGTTCTCTGAATTAGATCACGATATTTCTAATCATAATTTCTGCTTTTGATTACCAGATAAAAAGGCGTAGCAAGGCATTAATTATAGGACTTAGCAATATTTTTCAACAATGTTTCTTCTTAAATACAGAAACAAACTTAAATCATTTCGACGTTTGTAAAATTCTCGCTAAGAACATTCAAAGAAATTTAAAAATTTTTTTTTAGAAAAAATGTAGTTTTGTCTCAGTCTATTTTTTTATATGTTTTGTTTTTTTACACCCTGCACTTCATGAAGGGTATATTAACTTTGGTATGGAGTTTGTAACTACTTGAAGGAGTCATCTGCGGTATGGACATATACATATATATACTATTGCTCAGCGTAAAATTTTGCGTCGATTTAGACGTGTCCGCCCGCCCGATCGCACGATAACTCAATAATGAATAATGCAATCGACACCAAACTTTCACAAGTTTTTTCTTTTGTACCAAGGACGAACCCTATTGTAATTGGACTAATTCGGACATAAATTGGACTAAAATTGGACAACGAGTTCGGGTAGCTGCCATACAAGTCAAAGAGTTTATTTTAAATATTTCAAAAACTAATAAAGCTATAAATATAAAATGTTGTACACATGTGTCCAATTACATTCTACATATGCACTAAAATTTTAATGGGATAGCTGCACCGGTTCGGGTGGCTGCCATACAACTCCAAAAAGCAAATTTTTTATATTCAGAAAAATAATAAAGCTAGATTCATGAAACTTGGCAGTCATGGGTCCAATTATAGGTCAAATATATTTCTGAAGTTTTAGTGGAATTGCTTGACAAGTTCGGGTACCTGCCATACAACTCCAGAACCTAATGTTAAATATTTGGAAAAATAATAAAGTCAGATTCATGAAATATGGCAGTCGGGTGTCCAATTATAGGTCAGACATATCCGTGAAGTTTCTATAGAATGGGTTCACAGGTTTGAGTAATTGCTATACAACAACGAAAGGTGCAGGGTATAATTCAGCCGGTTTATACCGACTAAAACGTTTTTACTTGTTTTTAATTTTTTTCTTCTTAAGTTTTTTATTTTCTTTTGTCATTTCACCACTAGATGATGTTGAAATCAAATTGTTGACAAGTGAAAATGTTTTCATTCTCCATTATAGCAATGCTGTGTTATTTTTAAATTTTTTGTTTTTGTTTTGAAAAATTTCTGAAAATTTGTCAAGTTTAACTTGTTGAAAAGTTTATTTTTTTGTTTTAATTTTTTCTTTTTTCATTTATGTCTGATTTTTATTTGCTATTCCTTTGTTTCGTTGTTTTTTTTTAGTCAAATGCTTTTCGACAATATCAAAAAAAGTTACACCTTTCAAAGTTGTTTCAACTCCGTTTATAAAATTATATGATTTGTTTTGTCACGTCATTTATTTGATGGAAAAACTACCTCGTCTATCCTTTCTCTTTGTTCTATTCAGTTGCTGTGTTTTGTAATGCGGCAAATTTATACCATATACAAGCAGTTAGAAGGTGGTAATTTTTAGACTGAATATAATAGCCTGGAAAGGTATCAACGATACTTGTAAGGAAACTAGAGGCATAAAAAAATAAACGAAAAAAAATCAAAATTTTCTTTTGATTTTGGACAAGAAACGTAAAAAGGACGAAAAAATTATAAATATTCGTTTTTGAAACTTCTGATTTCTGTGTGGGTTTGTTTTATTTCAAAGTTTGATGGGATAAAAGATGGCAACTGAGTTTTAGTTTTGTTTTCTTTATTTTCCATTTTCAACGCTGAAAAATTAAAAAAAAAAGTTTTCTTTTATTAAAGAATACACTTAAGATTAAGAGTTTTTTTTGTGTATTTTCCTGCTTTCAACATTTGTTTAAAAAATAAAAATGGAATAATTCAGAAAACTTTTTAAACAACTTCCATTTTATTCAATCAAATGGTAATAACAGAATTTTCATAACTTTCTGCTTATTTCATTTATATTCACTTTATTTTTATTGTTAATTTTATTCTATTTAAATTAAGGAAAATAATTATATACAGGGTGCTTTTTAATAACAAAAAAAAATATATGCTTAGAATTCATATTTTTTTGTTTTCTTAGTGGTTTAGCCGATTTTATATCACGAGACAAGTGTAATTGCTGATTTTGAATGTAATTTATAAAAAAAAATAATCGTAGGACATTGAAATTTAGAATATCAGTTCGATTTGCATGTGGTTTTAAAAGTTTGTTTCATAAATACTTTTGAGAGATGTGTAATAAAAAACTTCTAATTTAAAGCTTGTAATTTTATACCACAAATTAGGAATCCATATTAATTGCACATATCGGTATTTTCGCAGAACAGAATATCATCGTTCTCACGATCATGTCAATCACTTTCATTTGCAGTTATAACAACTAGTGTCAACGTACGTTTAAATATTGCAACTAGTATTAGTTGTAAATAAAAATTTATTTTTTCTTCCTTGTTTTCATGTCAATATCAAAATCCGTCATATTAATAATTAATTTTTGTAAATGCAGTAACACAAAAAAATCAAAAATGACAATCATTTGCGTTACTAACAAAAATCATTTGCGTTACCAAAAAAATTGGAATTCATGACGCTAGCAGCGAAAAATATTGGAATTCATGATTTTTGGAAATTTTATGCAAATGACGTTCTGAGGAAGTGCCATTTAAGAAAAAAAGGCAATTTTTCTAAATTTAAAATTGTGTAGAAAATAAAAGTAAAAAAAATAATATCTTAACCAAATAAATCAGATATTTGCTTAATTAGTTAGTTATAAAAAGTGAAATGTCTATTAAAAATTTGATTTTTTTGTCAAGTGAAGCATTATTTCCAAAAAAAAAATGAAAAATCACTAAAAATTCTAAATTTTTAATTTTTCGTTTTGAGTAAAACATTTGTCCAAATTACTTAGTATTAAAAAAATTTAAATGCTGACTGTCTCCTAAAAGTATGCAAAATTAAATTAAGTTTATTCACATTAAAAAAATTTTTTATAAGGCTTTTGAAATTGCTCTATATTTTCCTTATCCCAACCAAACTATAAAAGACCAAAGAAACACCATATGGAACGCTTTAATTGTGCTCATCTTCTTATGAATTAAATTAAATTCATTTAAATTAAAATAGTTTAAGCCAATTTTAATGAATGATTTTTCTCATTTTATAATTATTCGCGTGTAGCTAAAAGCCAAAGCTAACAATAAGAAAAATTTGTGTTTTTATACTTTAATATAAAAAATTAACTTCTATAATAATCAATAGGACTATGTTCTTGTTGATTGTAGATTGTAGTGACCACCGCAGCCAACCATGGGTTATTGTTGTCCTCCCATATTCCACTTTAACTGTCCCGCTTCCAAATAAATACGAGAAGATATCCCTCAGGCAGGTGAATGCGAGCTCTCCAACGCTGAGAAAGCTCAACTCCAACCAATTTCTATTGTTACTAGTTACCATATAGACGTATATAACTTTCTGGTTCATACTAGGAATAAAAATTTTAACGAATTTAAACTGGATTTGAACTATAAGTTCTTATCTACATTATATTTTATAAAAATTACTTTTAATTTAAAACTTTAAAATTTTTTGGTTGGGTTGCATCAGATTCTGGTCTATTCATATTAAAATATCAATAAAATATTTTATAATTGTATAGTGATGTAAGTTTCATTCCGAAAAATGTTGAATTTTATTCCACTATAAAACTATTATTGCAATTACTTCTTTTATTATAATTATTATTATTGTGTTGATTTCTGCATTTACAGTATTATGTTAAATTTCTCGATTGAATAAGAAATTTTAGTTTTTAAATTTATGTATGTGCATGAGCATCATTACGATACAGTATGGTGCGTAGAAGATAAATATATTGTGAAAAATTTTCATAAAATAATAACGATTATTATAATATTATCTTGGAAATAATTATAACAGTATATGAATGTACATAATAATATTATGTAATACAACTATTAAAATAATTATTTATTATAAAAATGTACATGACTTTGACAACTTTCTTATATAAATAAATACAATTAAATAGCTTGCTATATTGAATAAGCACACAAACAATTATTATTATTACTGTTATACACCTATATAAAATAATAGAAAAATTTATGGATTGTTGAATTTGTGGGTTTAAATCACGTATTTTATAATCATAACACAATATGTACATTTATGCATATCCATGTACATTTAGATGTTTCGATATAACCGATAAGACTTTATATCGGAAAAAGACACGTTTTTGATAAGAGCAAAAGTCAAAATCATTGTTTTCTTAAAACATATAACATAAATTTCATTTACATTATTTTATCTATTATTAATAATGTTTGCATTCAGATAATCACCTTTATAACTCTTGTACGAATAAAATATTAGAATCAATGTTGTAAGTAATTGTGTTAAGATGATGTCCGATAAAATTTATAAGTGAGGTAAATTTGTTTTGTATAAGAATTAAAAAAATCTATAAAACTTTAAATTGAATTTACCTTGTTTGTATTTGGTTCAATATTATCTTATCATAGCCGAAAGCAAATACGAGGATTTATGTAAAAAATTAAATGTACGTGTGGACGTTGTTGACTGTATGCGTAAAAACGATTAAATAAGTGACGGGTGGTTAAGTACCATTTTAATATAAATCATATTTTAAGCAAAATGTAATATAGTTATTACGAGTAATATAATGACAATTTAATCAATGATTTTTCTTATAATTTTTAAAACATATTTTGATTTTTGAATCAAAATATTGCATGGATAGGTCCCAATTTGATATTAATGCTAATACGATATTTTAAAATGGTTATAATTATTATTCTTGGTGTGAGATTTAAAGGAAAATTCTTGATGCCAAAATGTAAAAAAGAGATTAAAATGTTAACTCAGAAGGAAAATTAACAGAAGTCGAATAGCATTAAAATTTTGTACACTACTTTTTCGTTCTCCAGGCAACACTATTTCTTTTTCATATCATGGTTATACTACTACTTTTTTCACGCATTTGCAATTAATGTAGAATCAAAATTTCTATTTCATAGGTTTTGTAATTACATTGAACTATCATAATTATACCATAATTTATGACGACAAGTTCAATAGTAGACTTAGCTTTCTATAACGTAATTATCCTGTTGATACTATGACATCTTAAGAGGAATTTAAAATAATTTACTTGCTTCTCATAATTTAACGACTTTCACATAAAAAATTAATATCTTGCGAGATCAGAAAGAAGATCAATGTCAAAAGATAGTCGACTTAAACATTGTTTAAAAAAATTTTCAATTACTTCCTAAATTTATTGGAAATTTATGTTGCAATAAAATTTAGCAGTAAAAGTATTTATAGAAGCAATATTCAATAATATACAAGTTTAAAGAGTCATTATACAAGTTAATGACAAGGTAAGGAAACGGATTAATTTAGTAAGCTCAAGTATACGCTTTTCTGAAATATACCGCAATATATTTGATGTACCTATACAAATTTTCACTAGTTGCTTTTGTTACGAAAGAGAATTATAAAAACATAAGTGATTCAAATTTCAATCTACATTCTCTTTTTGATACCTACATTCAAGTGTCCAATAATTATTTCTAAAAATTTAAAATTAAAATAATAAAACAGTCACGTAATATGCAATGATTATATTTAAAACAACAAAAATTAATAAAAAAATACGAAGAGGTTTAAGGATGTTATTTTTAGCAGCTTTATCTTTTTGAAAATTCTCTTTTTACTTTTTAAATTAATTCATTTTGGCTACTTTACTTGAGATCCAATCCAAGTGAGAGCCAGTATGAGTATATACAGATGGATAATTAGCTTGTCCACATGGAATATAGCCCCAAGAGACAATACCAACTTGAACAATTTTGCCATTAGAATTTTGTACTAATGGACCACCTGAATCACCATTACATGCTGAAATTTGTTGATTGCGTGATCCAGAACAAATGTTGGTTGAATGAATTGGTGATCCGCTTGGTAATTTACGGGCGCATTCAGAATATGGTAATAAATCAGTTGTAACAGTTTGTAAAACATTTGGTAATCCACCCCATGGTGTATCTTTTCCCCATCCAAATAATATACCTTCACCAGTTTGTTGAGCTGAATTTTGTGGTAGAGCAACAGCTTGAACACGATTATTTAATTTCAAAGGTTTTTCTAATTGCAAAAGTGCAACATCATATGGTCCAACACCACCACTATATTTTTCATGACCCAATTGCTTAATAACTCTTACAGTTTGTGTATCACTTTCGTTATTACGTTTATGTAAACCAGCAACAACATAAATATTACCACCTAAACAATGTGCAGCAGTTAAAACAACTTGTGGTGCAATAATTGAACCACCGCAAAAATGTGATCCAGATGGAGAACTTTTCAATGAAACAATATATGGTGCTTGACCAGGCTGTGCTTCTTGTCCATTAATAATGCGACCGCGACGGCTTGGATCTTCTTCAGGGAAACCAAATTGTGGAATAAAATTTGCCGCACTTATAGCAACAACTGTTAAAATGGTGACGAAGAAAATAATTGATTTCATTTTAAAGAAAATATTTAAGTTAATAGTTTACTGGATAAAATCCGTATAACAAATTTTCCATAGTCGGATATCATTTTTATAGAAAAATTTATAAAATATAAGAATTTCAATGATATGTCATAAAAATTTATTACACTACTAGAAAAACCACTTGAAAATATGCCGATACTTCTTAGTTTGCATTTTAAATTGCAATTTATTAGTAAGTATACAGAAATATTAAGCTATTAGAAAGATTATAAAATAGTTTACTTAAATTATCAATAGTAGTATTTTACAACATTCTCCAATGCCTAAATAATGCTTTAAAGAAGCTCTATGCGAAATTCCAGTAAATTCGTAGAAAAATAATTAATATGAAGTTTTCTAATATGAACTGACTAATCCCAGCTATAAAATATTCTTATACTACAATGATAAATAGCGCAGTACACTAATATTATTTTAAATAAGATTGTTGAGGATTAGAAAGACTTACAGGGCAATAAACTTCATAAATTATGATAAAATTTCAAATATTAGGGCGGAGTATGATGAAACAAAAGTTGTATATTTCATAAGATTAAGAAGCACGTATTTTTATTTTTCGTAAAACTTTTGGCTCAAAAATTCTAACCGAAATTAGATTTATTTTTTATAAAGCCAAATATTATTATGAACTTTCATGCCCATTCATTACAATACCGCCAGTATTATAAACTTAGCCATAAAACAAGCACAGGGAGATTATTGTATATACATACATATTTGGTTTTATGTTTCAATTTTATTAAGGATAAGAAATACCTTTTGATTTATTTTTTTTTTATATACGTTTAAGAAAGAGCCAGTAAAAAGTTACATTAAATTTGAGAAATAAAAAATTAAGATGTACATATGTGTACATTTTCATAAAATATTAAAATTACTCATGAATATTTTCTAGATTTTACATGAATTGCGGAGCTGGAATCAAGAAGGCGATGTTAGAATTTGAAGATTTTTCCATCATTGAATTGACAGTCGGAATTGATTAATTTAATTAGGGTTTGTTGTAGCTATGAATAGAAAATTTTTCGATCAATTGCACAGCCATGTATTTAAAAGTTGTTCTTTAATATTATTTTCAGAATAACTTGGAAAATATTACTAACTTACTCTAAATGACTTTATTCTTATAAATACTAATATAGTTACGTTGAATATTCTTTAAGCAGAGTGTAGCTATTTTTCAGAAGTAAGTAAATTTTGCACTTTTTTTAAAAAAATTAATGGTTTTACAATTTGCTATTTAAACTGCTTTTCCTTACCATATTCTTACAATATTTTAACACTTCAATAAACAAAAATTTAATATTGTTTGATAAGAAATGTACCGAATACATGTGAATAGAATGAGTTTAAAATAGTTTTGATTTTGTTCATCAATTTGTAACACTACATTATATCTAAAAAAATTTTTATCCCATAACATTGTTTCTTATATTAACTCATTCCACATTAACTTCATTCTATATGAACCCATATTTTTAGATATAAATATGCTGTATATATTTGAAATCGGTTAACAAAACCTTAACCATGAAAAATAATAAAAAATAAAAAAACTAACAAATACTGAGCAAGACTAACTTAAATTGTAAAATAGAATTCATTCTGATATTATAACTCTAAAATATCTGGCAAAATGTAATCATATCATACTTATAATATTATGGTGTATACAATATTAATAATATTTTAGAAAAAGAGAGAAAATAAGCAGAAAATATTATGATTTACTATAAAAGGATTTACTTTTAAGGATAATAATTTTATATAATATTATGTTTGTATGTGTAAATACGTTATTATAAAAGAAAAATAGGGGGACTGATAATAAGGTATCGAATACAAAAAATAATTACTTAAATGTTAAAAATTTAAAAATTCGAACAACACTGAAAAATTGATCACTATTTTGGTAGCCAAAAAACATAACTACAACTTTAGAATCGGAAGTTCCTAAAATTACAAAGTTAGCCATATTCCTTCGTCCATTTTGAATACATTTTTATTCTGTAATGATATACATATAATGTGACATATAAAATGTAGCTAAATTTTTTGACTACATTCTTAATTGACCTAGTGAAATTCTTCACGAAAAATGAAAACAACTTGTATTTTTAGCAGTATAAGATTTTTTCATCTTCGCTATGAGATAGCAACAAATGTTAAGAATGTAGTGCAATAAATCGTGGCAAAAAATGTTATTTTTTACCCTATCCTCACTACTACCTGTTTTTATTACAAGAAGCTACTATTAATTAAGGATATTACAGATGTAGTAATATTTTTTTGAGTGAAAATATAAAAGTATAATTAGGTAGGATCCAAGTTATTATGATCAATATCTAAGTTATTATGATCTAATATAGTTTAGATGGGTTTCTGTAAATTTTTATCACAAAGTCGATTTGAATTCTTTTCCCTTATTGGAACATTTCGTTATCCATATCAGATTGTTTTCATTAAAATTTTTTTGAAATGCATCTAATATTCTCATTAAAAATCTATTTGACTCAATTATCAATAATAAATAAAATTTACATCGGGCAACTCTGCAAGTTTAGTTGAGCAATATATTCATTCAAGATAAAATTTTTTTTTTAATTTATTATAAAAGAAATTGCAAATTTATAACACATGCTGTGGCGTAACTTGAACAAAAATGGTAAGTTTATTTTTTAGTTTTTTCTTGTGTCGAATTTTACAGTATAACAATTTAGTGACTGTGTATATAAATTTAATAAAAATTTTTTATTTTTTAATATTTTTTTTTCTTTTATAATAAAACATTCAATTTTGGTGAAATTGCTCATCATTTTTTTAAATTACTAAATAACATACACACAATCGTATATGCATAGTTACATTAACTTTTATTCTTCATATGTGATATATGTGATATACACATATCGTATTATGTTATCCTTTTTTTCCATACATACGTTATTGCAATAATTTAATGTTATATACTAAATTTAAGTTTGTTTTTCTTATGCTGTTATACTAAAAAAATTTTATATGTATAAAATATAGAAAAATTTCTAATCTCCTTCATACTTTCTTTTTGAAAGGAAGACCATAAGATTTTACTGACAAATTATGATATTCATTTTCTTTGTAAGCAATATACAGTGTTAGCAATATTATTATATTATATAGAATCCTTTTCTTTGATAAGTTTTAATAAGGTCTTTTATTATTATATTATTTTTTTTCATGCTTTTATCGTCATCATAATATTATGAGTGCGCTTTTCATTTCGCGATTTTTCCTATAACAATAAAAATATTAAAAAGTATAAAGTAATATATAAATATAAAATTGTATGAAATAATAAGTTTGAAGTGAAAAAGAAAAAAATGTGTTATAAAACACTTTTAACAATCTCATTACAGATAAATTTAAAAAAATTTGAGAACAAGTTTTAATAGGGACGGACTCGAAAACTAAATGATTTCTTTCTAATTCGATAAAAAATTTCCTTACAATATTGACAAGTTAAACAGGTATCATTAAAAGTCATTATTAGGCAAAGTGAGGATTATCAATCGAAGTAAATTTTGCAATTTAATAATCATTGAAATTACAGAATTGTGTTCATATATTCATATAACGTGGCAAATAAACTCTTTTATCAATTTCCAGCAAAAAAAAATGTAAGGTTGAGGGCAGGGGTTGATATATATAAACCACATATTCGAGCTGCAGCATGTTGAATAAAAAGGTATCAAATGTTCCCTACATATAAATTAATGCTTATAATTTTGAAACTATGCGACATAGAGTAACTATCGGGGGCTTGTTTCACACGCGATTGATTGCTCTTTATATTCGTTCTTACAATCAATTGGATTTGTGCGATAGTTTTCGAGATAAAGCATGTCAATAAAAATACTTGAATTATATCTTTGTTGTTAATAAATAAATTGGATATATACATATTTGATTGAGGATAGCCACAATAAAAAGGGCTTAACATTTTCTTCATAAAAGATTCTAACTTCACGTTAGCATCTTGTATAAATTTTTTAATTGACTATATATTGTGATTATTGAGTTTATATCGTTGGTGCGGATGCAAGTATAATCAATCATTCAAACAAAAAATATCTTTAGAAGTTATCTTTTTACTTAGTGCTTTGACAATGATTTTTTTGAGAAAATTTCAAAAGGTCTAAATCTAGAAATTTTTTCCCTTATTAATATAACAGTTTAATTGCGAAAATTTATAAATTTTTAAACATTTCTTTAACTCATTTGAATTACACAAGAATTGTTCACAGTTCTTGCATATTTTTAGTATGTTTGGTCTAGAAAAATTTTCATTGTCGACAACAAAATAATAATAAACGAAAATATGAATAAAAATTTTTGGACACAAAATATTCTTTTGAATAATAAAAATTTTTAATAAAATTCGATGTTTTTAAATTTGATCAAAACAACATCGATCTACTCACATTTTATTAAAATTATAACAAAAAAAATTGTAATAAAATTTAAAATTTCATCAAAACAAAATTATTAACACATTTTTTTTTTCATCCTTGAAAGTTTTTTATTGTCACCAATCACTTTTTCTTATATCTAGGTAAAAAGTATGCAAAAGTAGAGATCGAAAAAAAAAATTGGTTAAAATTACACTGAATATGACTTTCGTAATATATCAGATCATTTATGACATTCTCATAAAGTTTATATCTTATTTTTTTGCTTTTTTTTTATTTTCAAGTATCCTTTAATGATTTTTTTTATACCAATTCTAACTATATATGAGAATGGGTGAATTTCTGCTATAATTGTGTATACTTTTATATTTAGTTGTGTATGATGACATTTAAAAGGTTCCTTTATGCATATTTATATTTACATTATACGCAAAAAAAAAAGGAAACAGAAAAAAAAATTTACCAAAATATAAATGCGAAACGACAATATGGCGTCAATTTGCAGGTTTTTATTACCAGAACATAAATTTGGCAATGGTCCATAGTAGAGTAATAAAATATCCTTGAGAAATGTC